TTTATTAATGGCTTTCACAGTCTCAACAAATACACGTACTGTACGTCTTTGTCCGTCTCCGTGCCTTCTCTTCTTCCGTTCCACTCGAGAGGCGTTCATCGCCGCCTCCGAAAAACGTTAAGTTAATGATTACTTCAATGAAACTACGAAGAAAATCAAGCGAGGAAATCACAAAATAAATTCTGTAGGCGGGATATAGATTTTATTTTGTGATTTCCTCACTTTATTTTCTGTTTTGATGGATTATTTTCAATTTTCGTACTTTCATTTAAGTCCAGTAATACTTAATTTACGTTTTTCAGAGGCGGTCATGAACGCCTCTCGAGTTGAACAGACGCCTCTCGAGTTGAATGGAAGGAGCGTAGCACCATCTAGTTGAGGCATTGTAGATTGCGCCGTATAATGGGATGCATCCAATGTATGAAAAAAAAATTACAAAATAGCCATTCATTGAAGGTGCGCCTCATAATCCAGTGCGCCTTTTAATGCGGAAAATACGGTACTCTTGCTAGGCATGAAACCAGGTCGTTGCTCATAAATACTCACTTCTGTCCTGAGTCTACCTTCTGCTACTCTTTTCCAAAACTTCTTTGTACTACTCATCAACTTGGTTCCTCAGTAGTTTGCACAACTTTGCAATTCACCCTTGTTCTTGAAAATGGACAGCAGCACACATTTCCTCCATCTCACCCTTTCTATTGCACAACCTCGTCAAAAGTTCTACATTCACCTCTTCTAGATGCTTCCATACCCTCGTATGTATGTCATCAGACAAACTGCCTTTCCATTTTTCATCCTTTGCAATGCCTTTTTACGGTGGATGGTAACTGCAAAACAAATAGCCACCAGACTGTAGAATGGGGATAAAATTAAATTTTAGATGTGAAGGCTTGAAATATTTTTGTTTCTTTATGGGGCAGTTTTGTAAATCATTGACTTCGTTTGAGGAGCAACTTTTTCTTTATGTCGCATTTTTTTTTTTTTTTTTCAGGTTAATCCCAGGGAAGTGAAGCAAGGGTTTTGGGAAACATTGAAAACCTGACAATTGATTATCTTCTTTTTAATAGATTCAGTCCGTTTTTATTAAATTAACATGCAAAAATGTATTTAAAAAAAAAAAAAAGCTCAAAAGTCAAAGGAAAAACTCAATTGTGAAAACAAACGCATAACATTACTGATAAATTATAACAATTTCATACTCGATACTAGATACTTTTAAGCATACAGGCTACTCCTCCTGGCTGACATACACCGTAACAGAAGTTAATTTATTCCTGGTTCCGGTTCACTTTAGCTACGATGATTTTCTCTCCAAAATCCAGACACTTATTCATTTCCCTGGATGTCCTGCAAAAGAAGTGCTCTGCAATCCCTGCAAAAAGAAAGGACACTTTGCTAAAGTTTGTTGGAAAGTACACACGTTCGTGAGGTTGCACCTGGCACAGAAGTGACTACGTTCAGTACATCCATCCATCCATCCATCCATTATCTGTTTCGATTATCCTCACAAAGGTCGGTTGTCTCCAGGACTTCCTGCCGTTGCAACATGCCCAGAACACCTCACCAGGGGGGCATCCAGGAGGCATCCTAATCAGACGCCCAACCACCTCATCTGGCTCCTCTTTACGTGGAGGAGAAGCGGCTCGACTCTGAGCCCCTCCTGGATGGCCGAGCTTCGCACCCTATCTCTAAGGGAGAGCCCGGACACCCTGCGGAGAAAACTCATTTCAGCTACTTGAATCTGGGATCCTGTACCTTCGGTCATGACCCATAGCTCATGACCATAGGTGAGGGTTAGAATGTAGATCGACCAGTAAATTAAGCGCTTCATCTTTTGGCTCAGCTCCTTTAGCACCACAGACAGATACAAAGTCCGCATCACGGCAGACGCTGCACCGATCTACCTGTCAATCTCCCACTCCCTCCTACCCTCGCTTGTGAACAAGACCCCAAGATACTTAGACTCCTCCACTTGTGGCAAGATCTCACTTACCCGACCCAGAGAGGGCACTCCACCTTTTTCCGACTGAGGACCATTGTTTAAGATTTGGAGGTGCTGATTTTTATCCCAACTGCTTCACCCTCGGCTGCAAAATGCTCCAGTGAGAGTTGGAGATCCCAGGTTGAAGGAGCCAACAGTACCATGTCATCTGCAAAAAGCAGAGATGCAATACCGATGCCACCAAACCGGACCCCCTTAACGCCTAGTGCCAGATTAGTTACTGCCAGCAATGTGAACCCAACTCTGACATTGGTGGTATTGGGACCGAACAGCTCGTATGCGGGGGTTCGGTACTCTATACTCCTGAAGCACCCCCCACAGAACTCCCCAGAACTTAAACACCTAATCAACAACTATTCCAGACCACAATGCAACACTTAGTGGTGACAGCTCTTTTGAAATTTAACTCAATGTCATTCTATAGGCAATAATTTGCAATTGCCTAAATTGTTGTTGTCTGTGTTTTTAAAGTATATCCATAATCACATGGGTTGACCTGATAATCAAACAATGAAGAAAACCTCTGTATGGTCAACATTCATCACAATTCGGTGCGAGACTAGCTTACGAACGCAAAATTATTTTTGGCTGACTTGTCAGTGTAAAACTTTGATCTCTAAACCAATGTTTGTTTCGTTTGCGAAGCGG